TTATTTATGTTCTTTATTTCTAAAAATTATAAAAGGCATAACAAAAAAAAAAAAAAAAATTGCTCTCATTTCCATAAATTTGTATATTACGATTGGTAATTTGCGTTCGAATGAATGCGTCGGATATGTTTATATACTCGTTCAAGTATATCATCATGTCAGATTACGATAGAAGCGTAACGATCACGTATGTCATAATACAAAACACAGGCTTTTACCTGACGAGTGATACGTTAACGGATGTAATGATTCGACTCCTGTATTTTCTCGCATCGAGCCACRATTGTGACCGAACTTAACGGGACATCTCGACAGGATAAAATCTATGTCTTACTAACTGTATTGCCGTGCCTGTGGAGACTCCATATTGCTTATTGCTTACAATATATGAAATACTAATTACTTTGCTATATATATATACAGAATATATATATACAGAAAAATTATGCAAATTGGGTTGGGAATGCGCGAAGTCTTAAATTTAWTAAACTTATACAACCATTAATCAAAATATCTTTGTTCAGTTTACATTTATTATTTTAATTGGTATATTTATGTCACAATTATTATATAGTAGTCCAAAAATATGAATTCTTATTTTTCCCAAAAATACGTTTCTGAAAAAAAGGATCTTTCTCCTTTGTTATTATCTTATTTTTCCCAGAAAAAGATGAAAAGAAAAAGGATCGTAATGCTTTTTTTATTTTCCTCATAAAAGCTACATCAGGTACCTACCCGACGGCATTTCCTACCTATCCTACGCCTTGCGCAAATGATTATGTCAAGATAACAAATGCCCACATACAGATTTAGCAATAGCAATAGATTTGACAGTTAGTACGACATAGATTTTATCCTGTCGAGATGCCCCGTAAAGCCAAAAACGCAATGAATAATATCGAACAACCATCGTATTCACCAGATTTGGCCCCGAGTGATTTTTTTTGCTCCTTTATGAAATTGCCACTCCGTGAAACTATTTTTTAGTCGATCGAAGAGGTAAAACAAAACTTGCTGAAAGAGCTGAAGACCATGCCAAAAGCTACTTATGGAAGGTGGAAAGTGCATTACATCTGGTGGGGATTTCTTTGAAGGCGACAAAATAAATATAGTTAAATAATTAAATATTTTGCGTTTTAATTATAGTTTCCGGGTATTAGTTTGYCACAATTTATATAGCAATATTTCGGCATTGTCCATATATACATATATGTATTTTCGAAATAAAGTTGTGTTTTCCAAAAAAATAAAAAAAAAATTGTTTTCCAAAAGTTTGCAAGAAAACCGAAGAAAAGTGAGTATGTTAGTTTTTGTTGTTCTTAACTGTTTTTTTTAGAGTTAACAATAGCGCACCTGTCGCTTCTTTTCCCTGTTGGACTTCGTGACATCAAGTGCAGACAGAACTTTCTCCCCCTGATCTGTTAAGCTGTTAAGCTGCTTCCATTGGCAGGTCCCGAATCCAAAACCTTCAAAGCTGGACTTTTCTGTTCCATCCGGACGACATGACCTAGCCAGCGCAGCCGTTGACTCTTAATTCGCTAAACTATATCAATGTCGCCGTATATGTCGTAGAGTTCCATCGATCTTTCTCTCGAAAACTTGTAAAGCCGACTCATAAGATGTTGTCATCGTCCATGTCTCTTCATCATATAGCAGGATGGCGATAATAAGTGCTTTGTAGAATTTAGTCTTTGTTCGGAGAGAGAGATTTTCACTTCAAAGTTACGACTGTCAATAGTGATGTGGGAGTTCAGTCACGATTGCGACGACTATTTGTTTGATGACAAGAGATATTTCGTTTTGTCCGCGTTCACTACTAGACTAACGGCGCGAATGTTGGGGCCAGTGATATCAACATCATCGGCKTACGCCAGCAACTGTAAAAGATTGTACCTTTAAGTTCCACAGCTCGAATTATTTTCTCCAGCAACAGATTGAAGAAGTGGCACGATCCTGACGGAGCTTTCGTTGTTGCTCAACGCCAGTTTTCACATCCGTATTAGTTTTGAGAGGAGACCAAATTCAGACAACGTGACAAAAAGGCAGCTCCTTTTCGTGCTGTTGAAAGCAGCTTTGAAATGGATGAAGAGGTGGTGTGTGTCGATTCTATTCTCACCCCCTCTTTTCCAAGATTTGAGGCGTGGTAAATATCTGGTCGGATGTTRATTTTCCATGTCTAAAACCACACTGATAAGGTCCAATCAGTTTGTTGATGGTAGATCCTTATATCCGATGTTGAGGAGGCTTGTCCCACGGTATTTGGCGCAAATTATGGGGTCTCCCTTTTTGTGGATTGGGCAGAGCACAATCAGGTTCCTATTGTCGGGCACGCTTTCATCCGACCGTATCTTGAAAAGGAGCTGATGCATGCACTTTGTTAGTTCTTCGCCGTCGTATTTGAATAGCTTGACCGGTAATTCATCGGCCCTGCGCTTTGTTGTTCTTTAAGCGGGTAATTGCTATGCGAATCTAATTAGAGAATCGGGTTCGCCATCTCCAGATGTTACACTTTTACTGCCGTTCAACAAGCTGGCGAAGTGTTCCCTCTATAAGTTCAGTATGATCTGAACATCAGCCACTAGAACATCTCTTTGGGTTATACAAGACTATGCTCTGGTCTTGAAAACTTCCATTAGTCGCCGAATATTTTCGTAGAATTCTCAAAGGCAACGGCCAACTTCTCACTCTTCYCATTCACACATTTCCCCTCTTTCTTTTTTTGTTGCGTTTCTCTTCAACTCGGTATCTATTCCGCCCTGTTCGTGTGCTGTTCGACACCAATTTTGGGAGATAGGGTGTCTGTTTTTTCTCCGCTGAGACACTACTCATCTTACCAGCTGTTCTTTCGACCTTTACAAGAACCTATACTTTCTCTTACAGCTGTACGTGAGGAGCTTGAAATGCCGACGCACAGTTCCCTTATACCATGTTGCTGATGATTGCTCTCAGAGAACAAGAGTTCAAGTCGATTGTGATAGTAGCTTCTTAACGTSGTATCTTCCGTGTGTTTGTTGACGGGTGTGCTTTGCTGTACATAGTCAGGTCCGTATCTTCGCTTCAATGAGATAGTGGCCAAGTCAATGTTAGGTCCCCGGAGAGCCCGCATGTCAAGGTCACTGGACGCATGTCGTTCACTTATGATGTCATGATCGGTCTAGTTACGAACATTTCGWTGAGGAGACAGCCATATTTCCGTCCTCTGCTAAGTCGATGAGCTTCAACTCATGTGGAGAGGTTTTGATATGACGGCAGAATTTTCCGACTGCTGTACCAAAAGTGTAACTTTTACATCGTGGCGATAGCAGTTATCATAAGCTGCAGCCGTTCATAAGCGGCATCTTGATCTTATCATCCTTCTCTTTCGTTGGGGCGTGGGATCAAATCAGTGTTATGTTGAAAAGTTTTCTTGGAGACATCAACAATATTAACTATAAGCGGTAATGTATCAATTGACTAACATACGAAAGCCAAAAGAAAACTTCCGAAAATAACAGCAGCGTAATTGATCGAATGAACACACGATACGAGAACGAAGATGGGAGAATGAGTGTCGCGGCAGATGGACGGCCAGACTAATAAAATACCTAAACTTATGGATAAGCCGTAAAATCGGAGAGGTCGATTTTTACACAACTTAKTTGTTTTCCGATCACGGATATTTCAATAAATATTTACACGCAATGGAAAAAGTCGAAGAGCTGTCATGCTTATACACCGACGCGACAAAAGACACCCCCTAAGCACACTTTCTTTAAGTGTGAGTGATGGTAACGAGAATGCACCACCGTAGAAGACCTGACAACACGGACAACATAATCAGCGTTGTACTGGAGAGTGAAGCAAACTGGGAGATTATCCAGAGTAAAGTGGGCAGATGTAAATCTCTCAATGAGAAATGTGGAATATGGACCACTGAAACTTCCTCCCTTTAAACCGTGACCCCAGGCTCCACATGGATTGGCCCCCGCATCTTACACAACAACCACAACATTTCCAGGGCGCGYGGAGAGAACGCAAGTGTAGGAARTAAGTGAGGATTGCACCGCGACCTAGACCACAACTAGCCACAGTAAATTGATAAATTCCAACATACTGATCCCTATTTTTAAACACGGATCCAACAGCCTTTATGCTGCCCTTACTGCACACAGTCGATTAGCAGGTATTCTGGTGTCATTATCCAGACTGGAGATTGGACTGGATCATCAGCATACGCCTGCAGTTGTACACTCCTATAAAAAATTGTGGCTCTTCGATTCAGATCTGCAGCTCGAATTATTTTCTCCAGCAGAAGATTAAAGGTGTCGCACGATAGAGAGTTAACTTGTCAGAAACCTCATTTGGTATCGAACGGCTCGGGGAGATCCCATTCAGCATAAAGAAAATATCTTATCGTGATGATAAAAGCAGCTTTAAAATCAACGAAGGAGTAGTGTGTGTCTATCCAGTATCAGTTTTTTTGACGGCGGGATTTAATCTTTCCCACAATATACGTCACCTATCAATATAATTCTAATTTTAACTACTCAATTAAAATACGGTCCGCTTCGAGAATTCTGGTCCGCCAGGAATTACACCCGATAACTCTTTATAAATGTATAGTACTGTTTACTTTTGTATACTTAGTACAGCTTCCATTGCTTACCAAACGTTAACGTTATCATTTGTGGGACCATATTTGGACTTAATTGTCCAGGTATTTGTGTACCATCTTTGGAGCAGAAACAGTCGGGTAAATGGCATTTACGCATGTCACATGAAATAGCAGCATTGGGGTCGTTATCCATATCGCACCAACCCTAATATAAATTTTTATAATATTATTTGCTCTAGAGCCTGTGTTAAACATTTGGAATATAATTTACCTCATCGGATTCATCTGGACAATCAATGGATCCATCACAAAAATATTCGCTTGGTAGACAAGTGCCGTCTGCGCAACTTAAATGTGTTTTGTCTTTGCATCCACCTTTTTCCAATAGTGGCTTTGGGATTTGTTTTTCTTTAACAAAACAAGTATTTACATACATACATATATACTTATGTGAGTAGAAATAACATAATAAAAAGTGACAGATGCATGTGATTAAAAGAAAAAAAGTAATRGAATATTTTTCATTGTATGCTTTTATGTTATTTTTTATTAATAACTAATTATCATTTTAGGAAACTTCGGGTGCCAATTTTTCATATAAATATATTCTAGAAAATGTGTGTCAAAACTTGAAGAAGTATTTTCTTACCTGCAGTAATATCACAGTTATCCACATTCTGCTTAAAATCACAAATTTGTCTGACAACATCAAATAATAAACCCTCCGAGCATTTGAATTCAAAAACGTCACCATCTAAACAAAGGAAATACCTTGAACATTCAGTGTTGGTCCAAATCTTATGTACCAGTCGATGCGGATCCCGATAGAAACGATCATTTTTCAAACATTCTATACTGGGCCGTGTATTACGTTTAAACAAATTAGAAGATTGTGCTAAGAAAAATTTAAACATTAAATATGTAAACAAATGATGTGGAATTGTTTTTGATGTTCGAGTAATTTAGTTTCCTAATATCAAATCGGTTAGGTTTGATAATACAGTCAGAGAATGTAAAGCATAAGGAAGGTGCAAATTGAATTCTGTATGATGGTCCGATTGGGCGGCTAATAGAGCTGATAGAATTGTAGTAAGGAATTCACCATTTTCGCTGCTATTTAGCAGAAATGAGCACGTTCAATGGCAGAGATATATGTTAAACATCTGAAGTCATGCGAGAATAAATAAAGAGAAATGCTTTGAAGAAAAATATACAAAGTCACACAGAGAATGTAAAAAAGCATTCTCTGAGTCACATTTTCGTGATTATTTTGTATTATATGAACCATTGTTTTCCAAAAAATGGTAAAAATTTTAATTTTTTTTACAAAATCAGGAAGAATTAGGTAAAAATAATTTTAATTTTTAAATAAATTATATTCATTTCGACTATTACAGAGTGAATATGTGCCAAATGAACTTAATTTCTTCAAAGAGAATTGATGACCCTCATGAAACATGCATATTCGTATTATATAGATATATATATATATATATAGAATTTCTATGGCATATACATGTGTATGTATATTATTTCTTTGGCACATTTGTCTGTATGTTTACGCAAACAAATGCGAGCCACATACATACATATGTACATACATTCATAATAACAAGTGTCGCACGCATCTTTCGCATCTCCGTTGTCACGGACAACCAATGACCTAAACTCACGTTTTGTCAAAGAGTTAATCTGTCGAAGCTCTGACGCGACGACAAAGCATCACAACGTTGTGCTGCTGGTAGAAACTCCAAGCTGTGCCGAAAAAAATAAACGAATGACCGGCGATTGTCACCGCTTATCTTGCTGCTCGAACAGCTTCGCCAACAAACTAACGTAAATATGTATGTATGTATGAGTTTGCATACATGTGGGATTTTATTATGTTTGATCTATAAAAAGGATTTAAATATTATTTAGTTTAATTTATCTTATCATCTATGTGGGATTTTATTATGCGTGATGAGGAGAATTGATGCGCGTCGTCTTTTATSCCACGTCGTTTCGCGTTCGTCGTTYTATTTCAACTCYYCYTSTTGTAAGCTCGTAGAATTCTTCTTCTTTCAAGGCGTCGGTGGATGGTGGATGTCGATGCTTCTTCTTATTTACTGTGTGCGACGGCTGTCGTTTAACCCTTTATCACCCACATATATATTACCAAAGTTGACAGCAAATAAATTAGCATACACACATATGTATGTATATACAAATTAAAATATCATTAAATTTCACAAATTTGCATTTGTAAAAAAAGTGCAGACCTGCACTTTGCCATTTCCTCTTCCCGCGTTATTCGTACGGCAAAATAATATACACGCATACACACGGCATACAATTTGCCTATACCGGTATATACATAACATGCATATAACGTACATAGGGGACATAATTAAATTCAATTTTAAATTACAATTTAAAAATTTCGAAAAAAAAATTTCGGTGCGGTAAATGCAACCGTTTAATAAGGAAAAAACTACATTCTATTAAAAAATAAAAAAATTACGAGATCGACGGACAATACAAAACAAACAAAAAATCAGTAATTGGTAGCCAAAGCCAATATTAGCATTTAATTATATATTCTATATTCAAAGACTAAATCGGCACATTTTCAGCAATACCCCTTATCCTTGTTAATATACAAGCAAGCAGGATTGCAATTAACCACTTTAAGCATATATTATATGCACATAAACACGCACATATCGCGCAGACTCAAAGGCCATACGTTCTCTTATTATCGCCCGTACACGCAAGTATAATCTAACGAGTGCGAAGCAATAAATACAATAGAAACAAAACAAAACAAATTAATAACACAACTATTATGTGCGGAACACAATGGTCGCGACAGACTGCAGCAGCACGACAGTGAACTGAAAACGGCGTTGTGAATCCTACTACATGAACGTTTGTGAGAGGGCAGCAACATAACAGTGGCCGGCATGTACACAAAACAACGCAGTTGTCCATTTTGCATGTTCACAATTTCGTTGTGGCCATACTAATACCTTGCAATTCAATGAAATTTTAATATTTTGTTCAAAGTAAAATTTTTAAGCAAAAAATAAGTAAATAGGTAAATTTATTTGTTTTAAATTATCAATTGTTATTATAAATGATGTAACAGAGCTATT